AATTCCAAACTCTAAACCCTAAACCCGTTCAGGGTTTAAGTTTCACAATGTGTGCGAGGTTGGGGAACTCTGAAACCCAAATCCGAGGCTGGTTAAGCTTTGACATTGGGCTTACGGTTTAGGGTTTAAGGTTTAGGGTTTAGGGTATAGGGTTTAGGGTCTAGGGTAGGACCGGAGAATCAGACTAGGGTGCTAGGGATGTCCATACTGTAACAATGCTACGAAATGTTCAGGCTCGAGCAGCATGTCTAAACCCCGTGAAGAAACAAGCTCCCCTGAACCCTGAAACCTTAACCCTTTGAGAGCTCCGATAAGGGTTCCTTTATCAGGGTTCCTTTAGAAGGGTTCCTTTATGGGTTCCTTTAAGGGTTCGTTTAAGGGCTCCTTTAAGGGTTCCTTTAAGGGTTCCTTTAAGGGCTCTGAAACCATACTTAAGCCCCTCACCCTGGACCCTGGCCACGGTTTAGGGTTTGGGGCTTGCAGGGTGTAGGGGTTCAAGGTTTAGGGTTTGGGGTTTAGTGTTTCGGGCCTTATGATCTCAAGGGTTGTTACTTGGAGGTTCATGCATAGCTGTAAGTGGAGTAACTATAGTTATGTCCATATTGGGGGACATATAACTCCACTTGTGACTACTCACGAACCTCCAAGTAAGCCCCTGCAGGACCGTCCTTATGAAAAGGTACGGGTCCAGGTAAACCCCAAACTCCAAATCCTTATCCCAAAACCCCAAAACCCTAAACCCTAAACCCCTAAACCCCTAAACCTCTAAACCTACCGTAAGCCTCGAAACCCTAAACCTCCAAACCCTACCCTAAACCTCCAAACCCCTAAACCTCCAAACCCTAAGCCCTAAGCCAGAACAGACGGGGCTCGATGTGGACCCTCTCATCGAACACCACGGTGTAGAGCCAACTGCAGCCGGTGTAAACGAAGACCTCGAAGCTCGGGGTGAGCGGGGTTTAGGGTTTAGGGTTTAGGGTTTCAGGGGCCCTTACTCATTTAGAATCGGGTTTTGGGTCAGATTATACTACAAATATGATGAGGAGCCCCCAAAATAGTATAGGTAATTAGTTAGACTCGGAGCTTTTGTGGTGTCTTATGGGGTTGACAGTGTTCATCAAGCGGTGTAGTTCAAGTTATACTTCTAAACCCTAAACCCTAAACCCTAAACCCTAAACCCTAAACCCTAAACCCTAAACCCTTCTTCAAGGACAACCAGGGCAGTACTACTGTGACTAATTAGTCCTCCTCGCCCGAGCCGGGTTCCCAAACCGAGCAGTCCCCGTTGAGACAGCCGCTTCACCTTGTCCCGAAACCCTAAACCCTAAACTCTAAACCCTAAACCCTAAACCCTAAACCCTAAACCCTAAACCCTAAACTCAGGGTGGTTAGTCCCGGTCGACTCTAGGCTTGAGGAAAGTTGAAAAGAACTATGCTGAAGACACAACTTTCGAAATCCCCTAAAACCCAAAAACCCAAACCCCTAAACCCTAAACCCCAAACCCTAAACCCTAAACCCTAAACCCCAAACCCTAAACCCTAAACCCTAAACCCTAAACCCCAAACCCTAAACCCTTCTAGAACCCCAAAAGGAATCCTGGGTCCGGTGACACTTCGTGATTTTGTTTAAAGGCTCAGGTCGAGTTCAGGGCTGCTCTGTTGGAGCTATGGCGGAACTCCGTAGGGTTTAGGGTTTAGGGTTTTGGGTTTTGGGCTTTGGGGGTTTAGGGTTTAAGGTAAATTCCTTCAAAGCGCCATGCTTAAAGGATCATGGGACTTAGTAAGTAGGGTTTAGAGTTTAGGGTTTAGGGTTTAGGGAACCCTACTTAAAGGATCATGCGACTTAGTAAGTAGGGTTCCGTAAAGGGTTTAGGGCTTTAGGGTTTAGGATCTAGGAGGGTTACTCTAAGGGTGGTTTAGGGGTACTTAAAGGATCATGGGACTTAGTAAGTAGGGCTATAACTGAGGTAACTATACTTACAACCCCAATGTGGGGACTTATAACCTTACTAAACCCTAAACCCTAAACCCTAAACCCTAAACCCTAAATCCCTTACTTACTAAGTCCCATGATCCTCCAAGTACGGCATTTTTGCGGGAGCTCTGTGGGGCTGTAATGGGGCTTTGTTTCAGAAGGTTCTAAAACAATCAAGTTGTTCCGGTTTAGGGTTTAGGGTTTAGGGTGTAGGGGTGGCTTGATCTTTTCAGAACCCTTTTGATCAGGAGCTTTGAGGCAGTTTTGCTAGGGTTTCGAACCCATGTTTCGCAAAGCAAGGCTGCACGAGAGAAAGTCAGAGCGGGACTGACAATCAAGGCAGCCTCAGTGTTGGTACTTACCGTGTCAGTTGTATCCGAGACCCCGATCATTGACTTTGTCCAAGATCCCCTTCAAGTTCAGAGGAATGTCACGTTACGTCCCTGAACAGAAGACCCTGAACCCTAAACCCTAGACCCTAAACGCTAGACCCTAAACCCTAGACCCTAAACCCCAGACCCTAAACCCTAGACCCTAAACCCTAAACCCGAAACCCAACGCCCTAAGCCCCAAACAACCCTGCAAAAGCATGTCAAGGCGTGACTAAACCATCCTGACACCCCCTCCCAACCACCCTAAACTTTAAAGCCCCGAACCCTAGGGTTTTGGGGTTTGGGGTTCAGGGTTTGTAAGGTCTACTCTAATCAGGAAAGCCGAAAACTGCCGTAAACTCCTAGACCCACCCGAGACCGCCAACCCTAAGACCAAAAACCCTACAATCTAGGGTTTAGGGTTTAGGGTTTAGGGTTTAGGGTTTAGGGTTTAGGGTTCCAAACCCCAAACCCTAGACTCCTAAACCCTGACACCCGAAACCCCCGGGAAACCTAAGACCCACCCGAAACCGCGAAAAACCCCAAAACCCAAGACCTACGCATCACGACTTGGAGGTTCATGGGTAGTTATAAGTAGGGTTATAAGTCCCGTCATATGGGTTATAATTATAGTTGCCCGACTCATAACCCCTAAACAAACCTAAACCCTAAACCCCTAAACAACCATAAACCCTAAACCCAAACCCCTACACTCGCAGAGGCCGCCACAAGCCACACGAACGTGTAGGACCAGCAGTCAAACTGAGGTAGCACGTAGGGCCTGGGTCTCGCTGCTTTGAGGGTTTAGGGTTAAGGG